TGGGCCTGTATTCATTTATGGCAATGTATACATTTAGGTGTTTGGCCATACCTAGACTGTCTTTAATCTGCACCCCTCTTCAGTGTTTAGTGGTCTCTCTTCTTCTTTCCTGGTTTTCTTTTTATTTATATGGCTAAAGAATCTTTTAGAATAGGTTTTACTTTCCTTTGCAAGGTCTAACTCTGCCTGGTTTTTCGCAGTTCTCACTTTTTCTCTACACTTTTTGACCTCAAAGAGGTAGTTTTCCTTGCTGATCCATCCCTTGTTCCATTCCTAATAGGCTTTCTCTTAATAACCTGTTTTGAGATGCTTCTCCATCCACTTTGGTCTGCAACCCTTCCCTATGATTTTTTTCCCCTTGCTTGGAACGTAGGCTTCAGATAGTTTCTGCAACTTTGACTTTTACTTTCAAGACTCACATTCAGATCCTTGAGTTCTTCTTCAGTCCAGTCCACTTCCCTAACTAATTCCTTACATTTTTTTAAAAGTTTTTGCCCTTTTGAAATCAAGGACCCTAGCTGCAGGCCTGTTTTTGTTTATCCTTCCAATTTAAACTGAATTAACTCATGATTACTTGAATCAAGGTTGTCCTCTACAACCAGTTCTTCTATGAGGTCCTTGCTACTTACCAATACTAAATCTAAAAGGGCATCACCTCTTCTTGGTTCGGTGACTGTTTGGTGAAGAAATTTGTTGGCTACTGCATCCAAAGATATGTGGGCGCTACCATTATTAGTAGCACCTGCCCTCCAATCTGTAGCTGGGAAATTAGTCTCCCATAATCACACAATACCCAGTAGTATTTATTTTCATAAAAAATATTAAAGAGGTCACTATCTATATCCAAATGAGATCATGGGGGTCTGGGCAAACCAGATGCAGTATCGCAGTTGAGCCTCTGTTACTTTTCTTCTTCAAAGTGATTTTGACTAGGGGTGTAAAGCGATTAAAAAAATTAATTGCAATTAATCCTCTGTTAAACTTTAATAGAATACCGTTTATTTAAATATTTTTTCATGTTTTCTACATTTTCAAATATATTGATTTCAATTACAACACAGAATACAAAGTGTACAATGCTCACTTTATATTTATTTTTAAATTACAAGTAATTGAACTGTAAAAAAAATAGATAGTATTTTTCAGTTCACCTAATACAAGTACTGTAGTGCAATCTCTTTATCATGAAAGTTGAACTTACAAATGTAGAATTATGTACAAAAAAACCTGCTTTTAAAAAATAAGAATGTAAAACTTTAGAGCCTGCAAGTCCACTCAGTCCTACTTCTCGTTTAGCCAATTGCTCAGACAAACAAGTTTCTTTACATTTGCAGGAGATAATGCTGGCCACTTCATGTTTATAATGTCACCTGAAAGTGAGAACAGACATTCACATGGCAGAGGCGTCGCAAGATATTTATGTGCCAGATGTGCTAAAGATTCATACGTCCCTTCATGCTTCAACCATAATTCCAAGCATCATGCTGATGACGGGTTCTGCTCAATAACAGTCCAAACCAGTGCGGTCCGACACATGTTCATTTTCATTATCTGAGTCAGATGCCATCAGCAGAAGATTGATTTTCGTTTTTGGTTGTTCGGGTTCTGTTTCCATATCAAAGTGTTGCTCTTTTAAGACTTCTGAAACAAAACACCTCGTCCCTCTCAGATTTTGGAAGACACTTCAGAGTCTTAAACCTTGAGTCGAGTGCTTTAGAAATCTCACATTGGTACGTTCTTTGCGTTTTGTGAAATCTGCAGTAAAAGTGTTCTTTAAATGAACTGGGTCATCATCCGAGACTGCTATAACGTGAAATACATGGCAGAATGCAGGTAAAACAGAGCATGGGACATACAATTCTCCTCCAAGGAGTTCAGTCACAAATTTAATTAATGCATTATTTTTTTAACTAGCATCATCAGCATGGAAGCATGTCCTCTGGAATGGTGGCCGAAGCATGAAGGAGCATACGAATGTTTAGCATATCTGGCACGTAAATAACTTGCAATGCCGGCTACAAAAGTGCCATGCAAATGCCTGTTCTCACTTTCTGGTGACATTGTAAATAAGAAGAGGGCAGCATTATCTCCTGTAAATGTAAACAAATTTGTTTGTCTGAGCGATTGGCTGAACAAGAAGTAGAACAAGAAGCTGAACAAGAAGTAGGATTAATTTTTTTAATCGCGAATAACTTTTTTGAGTTAATGGCGTGAGTTAGCTGAAATTAATCGACAGCCTTAATTTTGACCCCAACAGATTCTGTTTTACCAATCCATCACTTCTAATTTCTTTACAGTCTACCTCATCATTAATATACAATGCTACTTGACCACCTTTATTTTTATTTCTGTCTTTCCTGAACAGCACAGAGAATTCAATACTGGTGTTCCAATTATGAGTACTATTCCATCATGTTTTCATTATCCGTTGTGACAGAGCTCCTTCTCTGCCACAGTGGGTTCCGTGCTTCCACTTAGTGGTGGGCTGGGGTATTCCTCTCTACCTCAGAATTTCCCCACGCCCCTGGGCTTGCTGTCCATACCTTGCCTGAGCTGGGTTCCTCCCGGCCTCCCTGATGGGGGACAGGGAGGGGGAAGGGAGCCTCTTAGTCTGTGGTAGTCTCTCCAGGCGTGGTGGCAACAAACCAGGCACCCAGTTCAGTCTCTCCTCTCTAGCAAGATCTCTTCCCTCGGACCTCCAGGGCCCAGAAGGACTGTTCACCCTGTTAGATAGGGTTTTCCCTGCCCTTCACCTCTGTACGTGTGCAGTTTTTCCTCCTGGAGCTTGTCAGCATCTGCATTGCCCAGCTCCCCAGTAGCGCGCTTTCCTCCTACAACTCCTATCGTGTGCCTATCTGGCTGGAGGGGAGGCTTTTAACAGGTACTGGCAGGCCCTTGATTGGCCCCAGGTGTTCTAATTTACCTAGAGTAACCTCTGTTCAGTTACCAAGGGAAAAAGGACCTACTTATCCTGGGGCTAATATACCTGCCTTTCAGCACTCTCCTGTAGCCATCTGGTCTGACCCTGTCACACCCTGTAATATCTAGTTCCACTTCCTGAACCAATAGTTCTAGTTCCTCCGTTTTGTTATCCAGGCTCCTTGCACTGGTGTACAGACATCTAATTTGTTTCTGATTGACTGCACCCAGATTCTTCACTTGATTAAGTACAGTTACTTCACTGTGTATATGTCTAACTGGTCTGTTACTGCTGTTGGTACTTTATTTCCTCTTGTCCATTCTCCTGCCTTCTGTTGTTCCTTTCTTCATTGCTGTATCCTCTTTTTACTTGAATCTCCTCCCACTCAGAATTAGTATCAGGTGTAGAAATTACATGAGCATTCCCCCAACCGACTTCCCTGAATTAGTAATGTAAAGTTTTTTTTAACCAGTTTTGCCAGTCTTCATCCCATAAGTCTTATTTCCCTCCCTACTTAGGTGGAGTCCATCTCATGAGAACAGTCCTCTGTCCGTGAATGCCTCCCAGTGGTCCAACATCCCAAAGCCCTCCAATGCCTGTGCCATCTGTTGAGCATCATGATCTTGTCTTTCCTTCACTCTCCTTCTCTAGGAACAGGTAGAATCCCACTGAAGATCACTTGAGCCTCCATTCCTTTAAGCATCTTCCCCAGCTTGGCATAGTCTTCCTTGATGCATCCTAGCAAGAATCTAGCAGTATCATTTGTCCCCATGAGCAGAACAATCAGTGGATACTTTGCTGCTCCCATAGACATATTAAAACTGCCGGCAGTCCAAGAAACCTGCAAGCAGTTTCTCCCACTCATTCAGTCAATGCATAGTCAAGTGATGTCAGATAACATAACAACAGATTTCGACGTCAACAAACGAGAAAGTGAGATCCATCTCCCTCTACATGGAGACAGTCAATCTGTGGAACTGGTGTATTCGACACCAGATAACCCTGTCAGCAGTACATCTCCCTTGGATACACAACGCTGTGGCAGATATTTGTCACCAGACCACAAATGGGAATTGCATGATTCCATGATACAGAATATATTCCATCAATAGGGGGTCTCTATTGGAACTGTTTGTGTCACAGCAGAACAGACAATGAATGCACAGTTTACTGCTCCAGAGTAGCCGTAAGTCAGGACTCCAGCAGTGATGCATTTCTAGTTACTTGGTCAGGACAACTAAGGTACTCCTTCCCACCCATCCTCCTCTTACTTCAGATTCTCAGGAAGATTGCACAAAATGGGGCAATGATCATTCTGCGTGCTCCCAGATGGCCAAGACAATTCTTCAGATGACAGACTTCCTCAGATGTCAGTACGCCCATATATCAGCATCTAGATCTTCCCAGACCTTTTGACCCAAGACAAGGGCAGGGTCAGACATCCCAGTCCAGCTCCCTCCACCTGACAGTCTAATATTTGGAAGGGTGTCGAACTTAAAGAGGTCATGTTCACAGACAGGCCAGACCATCTTTAACAATATTAGGAAAGACTCCATGAGGAAATGCTATGTAGCTAAGCGGAAAAAGTTCTCCATCTGGTTACAGTGTCACCAGATAACTCCAGAGGAATCCAATGTCCCTCCTATATTTAAATATCTCCTATCCTTAAAGACAACAAGTCTTTCCCTTAGTTCCCTAAGTGTCCACTTACAGCTATCAGCCCTGTCATCCTCTGATTGATAACCATTCAATCTTCACCCATCCTGTGACAGTATATTTTCTGAAGGATCTGGTCAGAACCTTTCCTCCCATGATCAAACCTATCCCAACATGGGATCTCAGTTTGGTCCTCTCGTTGTTAACAAGTGCGCCATTCAAACTCATGGCTTCATGCTCTTTAGTCTACTTGATATGAAGGTGGCCTTTTAGGCAGCCGTCACCTCAGCCAAAAGAGTAGGTGAACTGAGGGCCCTTATGGTAGACCCACCGTATACAATCCATAAGGATAACATTTCTCTCAGACTACATCCTTAATTTACCACCAAGGTGGTCTTGGGTTTTCATCAGACACTCCGCCTACCTTTTTCCCCAAAGCCACACGCCGCCAGTGAAGACAGTAGACTTCATTCATTGGACATCTGTTGGGCCATGGTGTTCTCCCTGCAAAGAACAAAATCCTTTTGGAAACTGCCTAGATTATGTATATCATTCACAGAACAGAGAGGGGAAGCAACCTCTTCCCAAAGACTTTCCACGTCGATTTTGGCATGCATTGTCCTGTGTTATGGGTTGCTCTTCTCTTACAGGGAGTGAGCACTCGCTCCACTGGAGCTCAGGCCACTTCTGTAGCCTCTTTGGGTATGTCTTCACTGTAATTAAAAACCCACTGATGGCCTGTGCCAGTGGACACAGGCTCAGGCTAAGGGGCTGTTTAATTGGAGTGTAGACTTCTGGGCTCAGGTTGTATCCTGAGCTCTGGGATCCTCCCACCTCCCAGGGTCCTAGAACTTGGGCTCCAGCCAGAGCTCAGAAGTCTACACTGCAGTAAAAAGAGCCACAAGCCTGGTGAGCCCAAGTCAGCTGGCATGGGCCAGCTATGGGTTTTTAATTGCAGTGTAGACTTACCCTCTTTGTGGCATTCCTGTCATCAAAATTTGTAATGCAACTATGTGTGGGGTTTGATCTGTACCTTCATGAGACTCTATGTCCTAGTGCAGGCTTCAGCAGCTGATGCATCTATCAGTACAGCAGTACACCTGTCATTGATATAGCAGAGGTCCTTGCCACCCTCTTCAATGACTACTGCTTGTCAGTCACTCGTGTGGAAAATACATTGGGATCAGAACTCAAAGAAAGAAGTTACTTACCTTGTATAGTAACTGGCATTCTTCAAGATGAGTGGTCCCTGTTGTATTTTAGTACCCACATTACTTCCCCTCTGCTTCAGATCTTTCTCTTACAATTTGCAGTAGAGAAGGAACTGGAGAAATGGTTGGTCCACATCACCTCTTGTACTCTGTTTGGAGAGTGAGGAGAGGAAGGGCACATGTGTTGACCAACAGACACTGTTACCAAAAATCTTCCAGTCTCAGGCACATGGAGCACATGTGTGCCCACAGTAGAATACACATAGGGATCACACATCTGGAAGAAGTCCAGTTACTGTGCAAGGTAAGTAACTTCTCTTTAATACAGCATTTTTCCTTTAGCAAAGGTTCTGTTTTGCTGATCTTCTTGTGCTGCAAGTTCTTGTTTGTTTTATTCCAGGGACAGATTTTTGGATTTTAAAAGTTAGTAGTCACAACCATAATAATTAGAATCCAAAGTGTCTTTCTCTTTGGATTATTAAAATGTTTAATTTTGTCTCATTTATATAAAATAAAATGCTACGTTTTGCAAGGGTGAGAAATTCTGATCTGCCATTTTGAATTTGTTCTTTAAACCTACATGAGTTTACAATGTCCATTTAAGGACATAGGCTCAAATTCTGAAACTGACTGCTCAGATGGATCCTTGCACCTGCACAGAACTCTAATAAAATCAGTGAAGCTGTACATCAGGGATCTCATACTCAAATCACCATGAGGGCCACATAAGGCCTAGTACATTGGCCCGAGAGCCACATCACTGAAACCTTAGATATGTTATAATAGCCCTATAGAATAGAAATGCTGGGGCAGATCCTCAGCTGGTGTAAATTGCCATAGCTCCACTGACTTCCACTGAACTCTGGCAATTTATACCAGCCGATGATGTGCCCAGCTGTATGCAGTGTTCATGTTTAGCCCTAAGGTCTAAAATTGCATCTCTTTCTCACTTGAGGCCTTGTTGGAAATGGCCCTGAGAATCAGACCATGGGATTTGAAAAGTAAGTGACTGGAAGAGTAATCAAAATGCAGAGTGAAAGTGACTGGGAGAATGGGAAGAGACAGAATGAGGGAAACTCACTGATATGGGGGAAGAAAAGAGTTGAGTCATACATAAAGAAGAAAGCTCCTGTCCTGTTCCACAGAACAGACAGATTTAAAGTAACTAACATCATTCCCAAGAATGAATCCATTTACCTCCTTCATACCGCTGCCCCAAGAATCTGCTCCCCCAATGAGTAGTTCAAAGACATCAGTGCAAATTATATTCTTTACATCCCCTGTTAAATTACTGCTGAAGAAACGCTAAATGTAGTTGTGCTGCAAGGATCCGTTAATTCATATTTTACCACTCTTCCCCTTCCCTGCCCCCATTCCAACCCCTTCCCCAAAGTCCCCGCCTCCTCCCTGTCTCTATTCCAACCCCTTCGCCAAATCCCTGCCTCTTCTCCTCCTCCTCCTCCCCTGAGCACGCTGCATCCCTGCTGCTCCCCCATCCCTCCTGGAAAGTCCTAAGTGCCGCCAAACAACTGTTTGGCGGCAGGAAGCACTGGGAGGTGGGCATAGGAGCAGGGATGCGGCATGCTTGCAGGGGAGGAATTTGGCTGCCAGTGGGTGCTCGAGCCCCAGAGCACCCACGGAGTCGGTGCCTATGGCGGGCCACAGGAAATAACTCCGTGGGCCGTGTGTTTAAGACCCCTGCTCTACATGGATGCAAGGGTCCACCTGCACAGATCCAGTTGTGGGATTGGGGCACTAGGTGGTAAAAAATGGAATATTAATATAATCTGTTAAAAGACTGTTCCAACTCTTCTCCTGTAGCTCAGTTCAGTCATACAAACATTTTTTTTCTCTAAGATTCGAGTATCTGATTATTAATTGTCTTTAAATGTAGAAGGTTAACTTTATGCTTCCTAATTTCCATATTCTGAATTTGCTTACAGTTCAGGGCCACCATCCTGAAAACCCTTTGAAGATGAGACTACTTTGTATAAGGAACTGGGCTCCCCTTCCCCATGCATTTTGCTTTGCAAACAGTCCTCACATAGTCCCCTGTAGGTTCAACACAGCATGCTTTATTTACAGTGTCTTATACGGGTTTGTGTCCCCATAGCATAAGACTTCCCCCAAGCTCTACCTAATCCATAGGCACAGGGTGCGATGGGGAGAGAGATCTCATCTCTCTGAGACCCTGGGTGTCTGCTCTTCCTTCCAGCCGCTGCCTCCTCCTTTCCTGTCTCCCTTTTAACTGTCCCCAGCTGACAAGCTGAATCACCTTGTTAACTGGTTAATGACCCAGTCCTTAATTATCTCCCAAATTTGGCCCCTTTGGGAAGCTTATAGAGTGGTGAGTTGGCCTTAAACTACTCCCATTCTGTCACAGGATCCTAGTTTTATAACATTGCAGCACAACCTAGTCTCTAAATCTGTGCTCTAAAGATGAGGCATTATGGAAAAGTGACTGCATTGTTAATGAAGATGTTTTCTTTACTTATCTTGACAGTTATCTGCAAACTGTGTTTGCTTATAGATTATATTAATATAAAATATGAGCAAAACCATACATATGGAATTAAGGGAATAATAAATTCTTGTAGAAAATATTTGTACTCTAAAGAAAAAAGTTTATTGTACCTGGTTAAACATTCTTTGTTCTCTTATGTGGATGCTGAAGTGAAAGTAAAAGATTCCAGCAGTTTCCAGAAATACCCACCCCAAATTATAAATTGCAAGTTTCAAAAGGGACTCTGTGTAGTATTCTGTGTCAAAGCCTCCAGCTGTCAATCCCTTCTTCCTAAAAGCAGATAGAGCGTAGAAATAATATGCTAAGTTTTCCTTTGCATCAGAGTATGTCTACACTGCAATAGACATACCTGAGCTAGCTTTGATCTAGCTAGGTTAACGGTAGTTCTGGTATGTCTATGTATGCTGCAGTCACACCTCCCAACTGCAGTGTAGACATGCCTTCCTTACGAAAATGAATACCCAACAATCAAGCACGTTCTTAAGGAAGGATACAACATCAGTCTGCATCACTACTGGCATTGCAGATTCATTAAGATTTCTGAAAAATTATGCCATTTCCCAGGTATTCCTTATGCTTTTCTACTACATACAGTTTAACTGAAAGCACTTCTCTATTAAGGAGTCTAGAAAATTTCAACAAGAAGACACATTTAGCACATATTAACACAGACAACAATATTCAGAAGAACAATTGCACACATTTGACTGTTCCTTTTTTATCTGGAAGAATATCTAGAGAATACTTTATCTTATTAATGATCTCTCTCCGTTATGTTCGTTGTAGATCTGGACTCATCCATTGACCTTGATTTGAAAAAATCTGTACTAGAAATGGGCCACTATTTAGACCTAAATTGTTTTTTCTACAGCTATTTTAAAAATGTCTGGCATGCCCATGCGCATTAACTGTTCTGTGGGACAAAATGGCTATTTTATGTGACAGAACCCGAGATTTAATATCTAAAAGAGGTACTTCAGGAGTGATGTCATTAGCCAGTTGTTATAAGGAACTGGGTACTCACAGCCTGTCGTATCACTGTCAAGGTCTAATAGCTTCAGGACCAATGGGAGAGTAAATGATGTACTGCTATTCAGGGATTGTCCAGTCTTTAATATGCGTTCAGTTAGTTTATATTGAAAAGAAAGACACGCACACACGGTAGAAATTCTCTGAAATAGTTTGAGAGCAATCCTATGTGTCCCAGTGTAGGAGACATAACATCACCATAAGAGTGCTAATCTATATAGGAAATTGCTTTCTGAGAACAACAATTATAAGGAAGTTGATTTTTATTGTGGAAATAAAATCTAATAAATATTTCAGGTGTTTGGGTTCATTCATAAATTAGATAAGTCCAAAACCCATCATCTGTTTAGTATAGTGATGTTAATGTTGTAGCGTTTTACAATGGAAAAATGTACAGGACAGTCTAACATTATATATCAGAACGATTTACTCATGATAGTCTATGACGTAGTATATAGTTTTAATTGGTCAGAGTTAAAAATGAGAGTTCTAACAATAACTCCAGTTTATTAAGACAAATTATGCAAAATCTGTTTCCCAGGGTGATTACTTCCATTCTGCCAGTTGTTTGTGATGGGAAACTGTGTGAAGAAGGAGAATGGAAAGGGAAAAGTTTTTTCATAGTCATTCCGGAAGTAGGAGTTTGATGCTATAGGCAATCATGAGCTAATAATTTTTGATCTGTTCACTCAAAAGTTAAGCTTTGAAGGTTTTGATCATATTAGTTTTGTCTAGAAAAA